TGCTAACTGCTTTCTCCAGCGAGGGTCTGTCCAGGCAGAGCAGCGTGCTCTGCCCTCCCTGTGCGAATCGGTGTCGCTCCAGGTCGGCGACACTGAGCCGGGGAAGGGGCCGGGGCGAGGGTGTGTCAGGACAGGGTGGGAGCCTAGCCGGGCAGGGGGCTCCAGGAGGACACAGGTTACAGCTTCACACCGGCTGCTTTGCGAGGGAGGGTCACCCCCTCCCAAATTGATTGCTTTGGAAACATAGACGCATCTGCCTGGAGCCTGGAGAGCAGCCTTGCTGGGGCATCTTTGCCATGCCAGCCCTGCTCCCTGCAGCTGCTGGGTGCTGCTGTCCATCTGGCACGGCTGCTCCCCGGCATGTGGCTGCCGGGGCAGGTGAGGACCGGCCATGGGGGACGGGGATGGCTCTCAGCAGCCACTTGCATGAGGGGAAAGCAGGCAATTGCCAATCTTGCTGCTGTCTCCAGAGGATACCTGCCAGCGCCTCTGGCGTGCCAGGCTTACCCCGTCCTGCCGTGGGCAAGCAAGATGCTGTTACACAGGTTTATAGCCCCTCTGGATGCTGTAATGACCCCTCGGGGCTCACCAGGACGGGAACACCGGGGCAGGCGAGGGCTGGCAGTGTCTGGCATACCGTGGCCAGACTGGGCTGCTCCCCAGCCCCTCTCTTCCTCCTCTTCCTCCTCCTCCGCTGGCTCTGCGCAGCCCGACCTCAGAGCTCCTGTGGTAGCTCTCATTGTGGGCAGGGGCTGCGTGTCCCCGCATGGATGTGAGGAGGGGACTCCTGGTCAGGACTCCTGGCCCTTGGCCTGGGGCCAGGCAGCCTGCGAGTCCCCTGGTGCAGGCAGCAGCAGTGCTTTCTGCAGGGGAGAGCAGCTGGCACACGGGTGAGTCTGGCTCGTATCCAGGCTCTCCGCTCCCATCGTGTCCTTGCCAGCGCTGCCGTTGCGTAGGAGCACCTTGCCAAAGGGGCTGCGTCCTGCCGAGTGCTGGGCAGCAATAGGCCCCACGGTTGGAGGGTTTCCCGCCAGCTAGCTGCTGGGGATGTCAGCGTTAGGCTGTCCTGAATCCCCCGTCTCATGCTCGCTGGCTCTCTCTTTGCTCAGGGAGGACTTTGGTTCCCAGCTTAGAGGAAGAAATCGATTTTCTGGCGGACGTGCTGGCCAGGCAAGATGCTCCTCACCCCCACCCGCTGCGCGATGGCAACCCCAGAAGTAAGTGCTGCCTGTCCTCCCCCTCTGCTGCTCCCAGTGCCCCCCGGGTCAGAAACCCCATGCTGGGATTTCTCCTGTTTTCCACAGTTCGTGACCCTCTCCTTGGTGGAGGGACGCCTGCTCTCGCTTTTAACGCACGGTACCAGGCTGGCGCTGCTCTGCTCATGCCCCTGCTTTCTCCTGCCTCTTCCACAGCCGTCCCAGCCACGGTGGGGAGGCATCGCATGGCCAGCAGGTTGAGAGGGGAGTCTTTGCAGAGGGATCCTGTCAGCAGCAAGGCAGCCACGACCCTCCCCACCTCTACCACTGAGGCAATCCAGAAGTACCCTCTGGAGGCATCCCCCATCCCTTCCAACGATGACGTGGTGCTCGGTAAGATCTAAGGGACAGGCGTCTGGGGCTCGTCGGAAAACATCTCGGTGTCCTTGCCCGGGGGATGCGGGCTGGCGGAGGCCCGGGCTGGCTCCGCGCTGCTCTGCACATCGCAGGGCTGGGCGCTGGGCCATCAGAGCTGCCGCCGGGCTCACCCCTGCCACCTCTCTGTGCCGTCCCCTCCTCTGCAGGGCTGATTGTGGTGTGCACCGTGGCCGGGATCTCTGCTCTAATCGTGGCTGCTGTCTGCTGGTGCTGGAAAGCCAGAGGCCACTAATCCCAACGAGTACCTAGATGTCCTTGTAGTGCCTGGGGGAGCTTGTTCCCACGCTTCCTTGGGACCAGGGGAGGGTTTGGAGAAGAGGAAGGTAGCTGTCCTTATTTGTCCCACCACAAACGCACCTGTGCCTGTGTCCACTGGGGTACAGTGTCTGCCAGAGGGGGTGGGTACATGAGACACTCCTATGTCAGGCTGGGAGCAAGGGGTGCTTGGTTTGGCATCAGACTTTGCCTTGCAGCCCGCCCCCCCACACACACATTGCAGGCCAAGCTGGATGGGGTCTGGTAGGAGCCTGCATGAGGGTCCAGTGTGCTCAGAGCTCACGATGCCAAAGCTACCCGCTGCCCCGGAGAGTTTTTGAGGGCACAGAGGCGTGTTGGCCCCCAACCTGCCGAGGTGCTGGCTCTGCTTTCGGAGAGCAGAACACATCGCTGCTCTGGGCTGTCCACCTCAGACCCTGCGAAACCAGCTCACTGCTTGGCGCAGCTGGTTTGCATTGGGTTTCAAAGGACCTCTGGTGCTCTTTAACCCTGACTAGCAGAAGCAGGGAGCATGCACAGTGGTTTTAAAACAGAGGGGTATAGCTTGTCCCCATAATGCCCTCTGAGGGCCAAATCCCCAGGAGTACACGGCCTTCAATGGCATGACCCAGTGCTCAGGGGAGAGCAGGAAGAGGGTCTGGAGCAGGAGAAGAGGGCTTAGCAAGCGAAAAGCCCCACAGAGTCAATCCTGCCTCCTTGAGAAACCTCGTGAACTGTGGTTTCCTTTTCCTTCTGAGACACTGAATTTTTTTTAAGTACAATTCCGGCTTTGCCACTTGGTCCCTTTCTGAGCCCTTCCAAGGTGCCATCCCATGGTGGCATGTCCTGTCCTGCCTCACAGTGATCTCATGCAGGGGAAATGCTTGCCTGCACGACCCCAACTGGCCGTGCTCAGCCCTCGCCATGGTGCTCAGTGCACCCATGAGTGCTGCCGACTGTGGGTACCCCTTGAAGGCACTGTGGTTCCGGGTGGGGGAGCTGAGCTGAAGGGGGGTCGCTGGGTCCAGCTCTGAGTCAGCCGCTCTGGTCACTGCTGCCCGACTGCTGTCCTCTCTCCTCGGCAGGCTGCAGAAGGAGGTCAGGCTGGCGCAGAAAGCAGACTACTCGGCGCAGAGAGCATCCAGCCCTTTGCCCTACGACAACATCTCGGTAAGGTGCCCGGATGCCTCCTGACAGGGCATTTGGTGCCCGAGCCAGACTCACGCTCCTTGTGAGAGGCTCCCAAAACAGAGGTGGGGGAACAGCTGTCAGCTCGGGCTCTGCTTTGGGCCACTGCCCACAGAGGAGAGTCCGTATCCTTGGGAGGGCTGGCAGCTTGCCAGAGCCCCAAGTTCACGTCTGCTGTTGCTCTCTTTGCAGCCCGGGGACAAGACGCTGGCTCAGAGTGCCCAGATGTACCACTACCAACACCAAAAGCAGCAGATGCTCTCCATGGAGAAGTAAGCAAGCCTGCCCTGAAAAGAGAAAGCAGGAGCAGTCCCCAGAGCTGCCCTGGCCGTGCCTCGGGCTAAGGGTGCCAGAAGCCGGGGATGAGAGCGTGTGGTCCCGACAGGAGCCCCAGTTGTAGGGTCTTTGCCCCAGGGGGCAGCTCCCTGGAGCACGCTTGGCCATGCCGTGCCACTAACTGGGAAAACGTCCCTCTGGGCTTCACCCAACCTCTCTGCAAACTCTTCCCACAGGCATAAAGAGGAGCCCAAGCTGCCAGATTCCGCTTCGTCTGATGAGGAGAATGAAGATGGAGACTTCACTGTGTACGAGTGCCCAGGGCTGGCTCCGGTAAGGCATGGGGTCAGAGCGGAGGCTGGAGCGGGGCACCCACGAGCTCTGCTCCAGCCAGCCAGCACCCTCTGCGCGGCCGAGCGGCAGGTGCAGGCAGAGGGGAACATGCGCATCCAGGGTGGGCTCTGGGGTGTGTGGGTCCTCGCGAGGAGACCTTTTAAAAATGTCCTTTATCAAATTCTGCGGTGGTCCAACCCCACCATGTCCCCCATCAGCTCCAAGCAGAGCACCCGCTGTCCCACTCAGCTCGAACACCGGGTGCTCCCCCGGCCAGAGCTGCTGGGACAGTTCAAGGCGATGCGAGATGGGGCTGCTGCTGGCCCCCCTGTCCACGCTGGGTGCTGGTGGCTGTAGGGGCTGGTGGTCGTTGCTTCAGGCCTGGAGCTGCCTCAAAACGTCCCTCGCAGGGAACACGAGGCTGGCTGGCTGCTGCAAGAGGGGCAGGCAGTGGAAGCAGGGGCAGCTCTCACGGGTGAATGGGTTCGCACTGCTGCAGGCATGCAGCCTGGGTTTGCTCCAAGTGTTAGATGGACAAACACAGCTTCTGGACATGGGGACATTCCTTGGGGAGTGCTGCCCTGCTTTATCTCAGGAGCTGAGAACTGGAGCATCCATTGGCAAACCAAACCCAACTGCCCCTGAGATGCAGGCAACGTGGCCACATAGGGGCTCCTGGACACAGGAGCTCCCGTGGCTCCTCCTTGTGGCCCCCAGGTCACCAGCCAGCCACTGTGGGGGATCCAGGCCCTGGTCCAGGACCTCCCTGGCCACTGGGTGGACCAGGGCAATCGCAGCCAGAGACCCCACTCAAACCCAGAGTGGACTTTTCTGGCCCTTCAGCTCAATGGGAACCCTGGGGAAGGGCAGCTCCTAACAGCCCTGCTACAGGCCGGGGTGTACAGAGCACAAAGGGACCCAAAGGGAGCCTTTCACATGGTAATGGCTGTGGTGCCCAGCCATCAGGGCCCAGATTAAGGGTCATCATTATGTCTTTACAGGCCCATTAAAGGGCTGTTGATGGCACACTGACAGTCTGGGGAACCAGCCCATTCCTATCAGGGAGGCTGGTGGGTGCTGGCATGGGAGAGCAGTGCCGAGGTGTGTTTGTGCACGCTGCCCAT